TTTTTAAAAATCTTTACCTGAGGTTATGTTTTTACTGATTTTAGAAAGGGAGGGAGGGAGGAAGGGAGCGAGAGAGGGAGGGAGGAGAGAGAGAGAGAGAGAGAGAGAGAGAGAGAGAGAGAGAGAGAGAGAGAAGAGAAAACATGGATCATTATCTTCATAGGCACCCTGACCAGAATTGAACCTGTAACCTAGGTATGTGTCTTAACCAGGAATCAAACCTGCAACCTCTTGATGAATAGGCTGATGCTCCAACCAACAGCTGCTGGGCTAGGACTATAGAGATATACTTTAATAAAAGTTATGTGGCCCTGTCTGGCGTAGCCCAGTTGGTTGGAGCATTGCCTCATGCACCAAAGGGTCATGGGTTTGGTTCCAGGTCAGGGCACATTCCCGGGTTGTGGGTTCAATCCCTGGTCAGGACGCATATAGGAGGCAATCGATGTATGTTTCTCTGTCACACTGATGCTTCTCTCTTTCTGAAATTAATTTTTTTTAAAGTATCCTTGGGTGAGGATTAAAACATAAATAAAAAATAAAAGGTATGTGAATGTGGTCTCTGTCTTTATCCAAACATGTCTTCTTGTACTACATTCGCCCTTCTTCTGATGATGATGTGAGATGATAAAATGCTTTATTGAGTTGAGAACTTTCACCTTTTCACTTAAAGGAACCACTTTATGGCTTTTCTTTGGCATATCTGCGTTGCCACTTTGGGGACATTATTAACTAAAATGAAGGTTACTTGAACACAAGAAATACAATACCGTGATAGTTGATCTGATAAACAAGACTCTTATTAAGTGATGATTGGGCATGTAGCATAGACAGTGTGGATATGCCAGATAAAGAGATGATTCACGTTCCTGACGAGACAGAGTGGGACAGCACGAGATTTCATCATGCTATTCAGAACAACATGTAATTTAAGACCTACAGATTATTTATTTTAGACAGTTTTCATTTAGTATTTTTGGACTGAGGTTGACTACAGATAATTGAAACTGTGGAAAGTGAAATCATGGATAAGGGGTTGCTATTGAACTTACTATCAACATAGCTGAGCCATGGTCGTGTTGACCTTGATCTCCTGGCTGATACAGGTTTTGTCAGGTTTTGAAACTGTCTTCTTTTTAAATCTCTTTTCCATATTGTATTCTTTAGAAGGAAGTCACTATGCACACCTCACACTTAAGTGGATTACTTCCACTTCCTTGAGGGTAGAATATCTGCATAATTTATTTGAAATTCTTTTTCATGGGAGATTTGTATATTTTTTTCCAACTTCTTTGTTCAATCTTTCATTTATATCAGTATGGACTGTGAACATTTATTTTATACTTTGGGTTATGATCAAATACTACTTTATTGTGTTGCTCAAATATAATTATCAACTTTTACTATTCATATTATTACCCACCTAAATCCATAATGAACTAGTATTCTTCTGAATTCTATGTAGTAATCAGAAAGCTTATTGTGAGGTCCAGGATTTATGTCTATTTTGCTCCCCTTTGTGCTCTCAGAACCTAGTGCTTGGCTCATGTTATGTGCTCAATAAAAACTTTTGAATTAATACCTGAAATATAATATTGAGTTATCGCTGTCATTGATGATAAAGATCATGGGTAAACATTTTTTTGTTGTTGCAGGATTTATATCCAGGATCACAAATGTTTGGTAGCCATAGAAACAACTTGCCAATTTATCATTTGACTTCTGAATGTCCTTCCCCACCTACACCACACTCTTCCATAATTATAGCTGGAGTGAAAGTGCTGCTCTCCAGTGAACTCCCACTGTGGGTACCATAGAGACACATCGCATGTAATGCCGAGAAGGCTCATATTCCATGAAATTTTCTGTTAATATAAAATGACTGGCCTGGTTCTCCCCAGCCAGGCTCTGAAGTGGAGAGCAATCACACAACTGAAATAACAACCAGCCTGTGAGAAGAAAGCAAGACCATACTTCTTCCCTACCTTCCAAGCGCCCTTCATCCATCAGTAACAAGCAGTCCGTTTGAGTTGACCGTGGAAGCCTTTTTGACTGTGTACCTGCCGTACGCAGTGAGAGAATAAATCTTGAAGTTTCCACTGGTGCCAGCTAAAGCCACACGGGCATTAAGTTAAGTGGAGTCCATCGCTCTGGAGGTGCTTCACAATGGAGATTTGTCTACAGGCAGGGACAAGTCCAAGTGCTGGCTTTAATTTACAGTGTCTGGCAGTTTCTACTGCTGGGATTTTAGCCAAAGCCAAGCTTTCTCCCTCTGTCTGTCTTTATTCATCTCACTTCTCAGTTAGTATTTGGAAGTATTCTTGAATCCCTAAATATGTCTTTTTGGAATTTGACTGTGATCCTCCCAAAGGTGGCTACATATTACTTCTAAATCAATATTTTGCCAAAGCCCAGTTCTTTCTGGATCAGAAAAGTATGGAATTGAATTCGACTTCTGCCATTCTTAAGGCCAGTCATTAAGCCTTAGGAGGAGAGAACATGGTTAGCTGATTCTCCACCTTTCCTTTCTCAGCTAATGTCCTTATCTGTAATTGAAAAATAAAATTTAAAATAATAAATTTAAAAAATGGCATTTTTTTTCTCTACACCATCCTGTGCAAAAATAAATAAATAAATAAAAATGCTAAAAGCAAATGTATTCAGTGGTATTGATTCTTTTTCAAGCTGTTCTTTTGAAATCCCACAGACTGGCCTGAGGTCACAAAGCATTCAGCTCCACCAACCTAGCCTTGCTGAATTTTCCCAGAGCATGTAGGGGGAGACCACTGAGTCTCCCTACACTCCACTTTCCCCACAATCTCTGGCTGTCAACTGATGGGCACACAAAATGGCTTTTATGGTGAAAGTCTGTAGCATTTCCCTCTCCATGTTTCAGAGACCATCCAATTACCCATTCCCTCCTTTCACCGTCCTCAGGAGAGAGTGAGGTCTAAATCTTCACCTGCAGGTAAATACAAAACAGAACGGTCATTAGCAAATGAAGAATGCAAACCAGAAGCTTCATGTTGGTGTGCACAAGCAAATTAAAAAGCAGCAGCAGCTCAGCCAGGCCCCCTGAACTCAAGGAGACCAGAGTCAAATCATCACACATTAAATGGAATCCTGGACATCGATTTCCCTCTTTGCATATTACCTCTCCTGGAGAAAATTCTTCAGCAATTAAAAGTGCTGAATTCAAGCAGAGTGCCTGGTTCACAGATGAAACCACACACAGAAAATTGGGAGACGCATCACAGCATCCAGTACCATAATTAAGAAAATTGTCTTTATGCTGGCCTATGAATATGAATGACTGAATAAATGAGCAACATGGCCTCTTCATTACCAAGAGAACCTGATGCAGTAGAGGACCCGGGTTCCAAAAATAAATGAAACCTGCAGCTCATGTGCAGTCCCTGAAACATTAATCTGGGTCAGAAAGAGGAAATGAAGTAGGATGTCATGGCTCAAAGGCACCTGGGGAAAGTGTGGGAACTGTGCTCTGACAGTGGATTTTCCCTAAGTTTTCAACTACCTGGCCCCAGAACAATTCTTCGTCCTTCCCGTAACTCCCATCTTACTCTGAACACTAAAACCATCGTGTGTTCACCCTTTTATGCTTTGCCCAATAGCAGGGCTGGTACAAACTGTCGATGCTAAGAGAGGCTGAGGAGGAAAGCCGAGTGGCATCGGGTTAGATTCTCAGAAGCACTCCGGGGCCTCGTTGGCAGAAACGGAGCAAGGCCTTGCTCAAGGGTCACCTTAGGGAAAACAGTGAGGAGACACTCAAGACTGAGGAAGCTGGTGGGGGAGGCAGTCCCCAAACGATTTCACAATGATCCTGGATTTCCATGAGGTCAGTCTGTCAGTTTGAAAGGCCTTTAAAAGGGGTCAAATATATGGTGACAGAAAGACTAAATTCTGAGTGGAGAGCACACAAGACAATATACCAATGATGGATTACAGAATTGTACACCTTGAACTTACCTAATGGTATTAACCAGTGCTAAACCAATAAATTGAATTAAATTTTTTTAAATATATTTTTATTGATTTTTACAGAGAGGAAGAGATAGGGATAGAGAGTTAGAAACATTGATGAGAGAGAAACATCGACCAGCTGCCTCCTGCACACTCCCTATAGGGGATGTGCCTGCAACCAAGGTACATGCCTTTGACCGGAATCGAACCCGGGGCCCTTCAGTCCGCAGGTCGACACTCTATCCACAGAGCCAAACCGGTTAAGGCTGAATTAAATTTTTAAAAAGTTACAGGAACATTTTAACTTTTGTATCTGGTATTTATTGCAATATTTATTTATTTGTTGAAATATTTATGAGATAAAAAATTGAAACAATCTGAAAAATCAATATTGGAAGCTTAAGGAAATTATAACAGTCTTATAGATGGAATTCCATGGGACCATGAAAATGATATAGCATTTGTGTAATGATCTGATTGCACATGCACATATATACATGTGTATAATTTGGGTGTCATTTTTATGTGCATTTTTAACATTTTTTATCCAGTGAAGATCACCCAAGAAAACTCCTTGTTTGTCTCAGTGCAGGAAAGTCAAAATTCTGAGGTTTGTGTGAAACAAAACTTTCTGTAACCTGATCAGGTCATGATCTCAGAAGAGTCACATAAGGACCCAGAGGGCTTCTGGGAATCACAGCCCTGATGCCCCTCACCTGAGATGAGAACTTAGGGAGATCTGATGGGGCTTTCTGGGATTGTTCCCATCAGGTTGCACTGGCAAGGAGCAGCAGCAGGGCACCTGAAATAAATTTCCCTTGATGAAGAGTGTAGCTAGCGAGGCCTTTAATTTAGCCTTCACAAACAGAGCCTAGGAGTTGTGTGGAAGGACTGATCCTGACATGGCCTGTGGCTGATTGCGGAAATTTCTCTGGAACCAGCCCCTTGGAGCGTGATTGGGAAAGAAGGACAAGCGAAGAACTAGTTTGAGGAATTCTGGGAATCCAGGTGTGGAACTTGGATGAAGCAGAGTGAGAAAGACAGGTACTCCATCGGCTCTTGCAGTTCAGAACTCGCTGGCTCCAGCACCTGCGCCAACAGAACGGTGCTGCGGATTCCATGTCTACTGCCTGATGACTGCTGGGTTCCAGCTGGGTGAAACGTGCCCAGGACAGTGCCTCCTGGCTTTTTCCAGTTGGGAGCTGAGTATCGACCACAAGTTTATGAGTAGCTCCTTTCTCGGAAGCAGCATACAAGATTTCTCTCCACAATTCTGCACGAGGTATGCTTTTCATTTCTCTCACCATCTCCCTGGAAAATTAGTCATTTGTGTTCATTGCCTATAATTTATACCTAGTTATGTGGTGCGATAACAATTACGCAAAGCGCTAAATGAGTCAGGTTAACTTTAAGTTTTGTTTAAAGTACAACACAGAATTTTATGTTCTCCGTCTTCATAATTAGCTGTTCCCATAATATATTAGTTGGTATGGTTTTGACTGCAGTAACAGAAGCCATGACTCATCAGGAAATAAGGAACTTTTTATTATTTCGCATAATAAGAAATACAGCAGTCAACCACAGGGTGATTTGACTTAATGGTTCAAGACAGGATATCAGGAACCCAGATTTTTCTATTTTTCTCCTCTGCTGGCTATAGAGTGTTTTCTTTATCCTAAGGATCCTTTTCATTTTGGTCACAAGGTGGCTGCCAGCAGCACCTGTAGCAGCGGGATAGTCTCTTGTTCACATCCAGATGGGGAGAGAGAGAAATTACTGCCCAAGAATGGAATATAAGTCTGACTGAGCCAGCTAAAGTCAGAAGCCACTTCTGCCTCAGTAACAGTTGCCAAGGGAAAGCCAGGAGCTGATTTCTTTAGGCTGATTATGTTCCATCCTTGGTACCAGCAGTTGTGTATGTTTCTTCTTATTTGTGTAGAAAATGTGGTTCAGGGATGGATACCTGAGCAAAATCAGGGTTTTGGTGGGAAGAATGAAGGGGCAATGAATGTCAGGTAGCTAGCCAGCAATCCTGGCCTATGTAATTATTTGGGGAGATAATTTTTCTGAGGAAATAGGTTTAGAAAAGAGAGGAGCTAGGGACCAAGAATCACCTGGGAGTAGCTCACACACTTAGAAAATTGCAGGAGTCTCTCTACATTTTGAGCTACTTTGGAAAGCAAGTTTTTAACAATTTTTAAATATTTCTGTCATCAGTGTGCAAGTGCAGTTGGCCCTAGAACAATGTGGGTTTGAACTGCACAGGTCCAAGTAAGAAAGGTCCTTAAAATAGGTAAAATCTTGAGAGAGAGAAAAAGAGTTGAAAGATACATTTTCAGGAAAAGGGAATTTTATGGCAAAATTACAAACTATGAACAAGTATGAGAATGTCAACGAATATTAATGGGCAAAAAAAGTTGTTCATATGATTTCAGGAAAGGAATAAATAAATGGTGTAAGGGTCAATAAAGAACAGGATTGAGATTCTAAAGGCACAGGTTTGAATCTTTATTCTGCCACTTAGTCATTACCCAACTGTAGATTATGAATGTTAATTTACTTGAACCTACTTTACCCACTTCACAAGGAAATCCTTGACCAGGCTATAGCAGGTAGAGCACCAGATACTGACACCAATATCAAAATAAATTGTTATTTTATAAAGGAGATTAAAATATCATGCCATCCAATGAGCCATTAATTTACTTGCTAGAGCTCTTTGGAGAAAATGACAATACAAGCAACTTCAAGAGGCCCTTCCAAAAGGATGGAAGAAGATACCTCTTTGGGCAGGCAGATCTTTGGGCCCTCTCCCCTCATAACATGTTGACAGCTCAAATTCTCAATATAACCTAATTCTTACTATGTGAATTGTTACTCACCTAATCTGACCTTAATTTTTTTTCAGATCAGTACAAGCACCCTTCTTCAACACATTTCACTCCTTCCCCTGATTCCTGCTTCTTGGGTAAGTCTTATCACCAATAAGAAACTATGAATTAATATGCCACTTGTCAGGCAGGATAAGCTATTCAGATTTTTCATTCACGGAAGTCCTCTAAATTTGTTTCAGCTATAAAATGGGGAATGTTAGTTCCTGCCCTCCAAGTTAGGAATTTATATATTTTATTTTGGAACAAAAGATGACTTGCATGGACTTTAACCTTTCTCGTCTTCCCCTCTGTTTTGTTCCTGAGCCCCAAACTGTAGGAAATTTTGAGGCGCCTTGGCTCATAGTATTAAATTTTCTCATGGGGCTATTTTCATATGTGACAAAATGAATGCTGAACATTTTTGTCCGCAGCATTACATAGAATAGGCAGAAAACAATATTTTATAGCAAGCTAGAGTGACAAATAACATGTCAAAAAGCTAATGAAGAATCTTTTACTTTCTCATGCATATAAACTACTTGGTTTCAGAGGTCACTAATGAAAAATTCATTTTATATTCATATATTTGGATTAAGTATGGCTTGATCTGCTTCATACATTTCATAAATCCTCTCCAGGGTAAATTTTTTTAAGATTAAAAATAAATCCTAAAGTAATAGAGTTTTTTTTCCTGAAATTATTTTATTTTAAAAAATTGAATAACTACAGAAAACAATCTTATTGAAACATAAATAAAACATGGCAGAGTCATATAGAATTTTAAAAAGTACTGCTTAATGTTACTTTCTCTCAATCTAAACTACTAATAACAATTTGATATGTATTTTTAGTCTTTTCTATGCACTCAAAGGGAGAAAGAGAACAAATATATGGCTTGCTTGTTTGCTTGTTTTCTTAAAAATATTATATTAAACATGGAACTCTGTAACCTGATCTTTTCCATTTAAGGTAATTTTATATCTTTAAAGTCTGTACTTAAAGATATGTCTTGGGAATTAGTGGGGTTTTTTTGAATCCCTTTAGAGAAGATCCATAGATTATTCAAGTTGGTGAACACTGATCAACTGCATACTATTCCACCGTCTGGCTGTACCATGATCTAATTGCATTCACCTGTCAGTGACAGCTGGGTTGTTTCAGCATTTTACCATCACAAAAAAATGCTTCAATGAACATAATCATGAAGATGTTTTTATACATATTTCCCAGCAATCATATAGGATATATGACTAAAAACAGAATTACTCAAAGGGCATTATAATTGCCAATATATACTGCTCAACTGACCTCCAAAAAGATTGTACACATTCAAACTCCAATCAGCAATATGTGAAAGTAATTGTTTCTCTATACTTACACCCCAACTTTTAAGGTTTTCCTAAACTGATGGTCAAAAAAAAATCACATTAAATTGCAATGTCCTATTACTAATAAAACTGAGTATTCTCTCTCTCTCTCTCTCCCTCTCCCTCTCTCCCTCTCTCTGTCCCTTTTTCTCTATAAGTTGATTTTTCATTATTATTGTCCATTTATTTCTCATTGATTGAGTTTTCTTACTGCTTTATAGGAATTCTTTGTATATTTTGAATATTTATTCTTTGTTGTATTTGTAGCAAATATTTCCTCTTATTGGGTCATTTGTCTTTCCTCCCTTTTGGTCATTTGTGCTTTATGCTATCTTTTATTGTACAAAAGCTTCAAATTCTTTAATTGCAAAACTTCTTAATCTTTCCCTTTATAATGTCTGTTTTCTGCCTTGCTTAGGAAAACCTTACCCATGTTAAGGCAGTAAGAATATTTCCCTGTTTTTCTCTAGTACAATTTTTATTTCTGCGTTTTTCACCTATATAGAATATGGTGAGAGAAATGAGAGTTAATATTTTTTTCAGCAGAAAGTCAATTGTAACACATTGATTAAATAACTTGCAATTTCCTCAGTGATTGGAAGTACCCATGTATCATATGCATTGTTCATATTCTTGGTCGTACATTCTCATTCTTAGGTGAGTGAGGTCCTCTGACAATAGCCTTCAGAAATCAGACAACTTGCCCACGGTTGTTTGGGGGACAATTTCTTAGGGTTGATACCATAATATTTAAAACTTTACATATACACAGATAGGTTCTGTATTTAATATATACTATATATATAGCCATATATATAGATGGATGTATATATACAGGGTGAACATATACATATATACAAGATAGATTCTGTATTCTTCATCTTATTTAATCTGTTTATGTATTTCTGGCCCCAATGCCACTTTATTTTAATTACCTTAGTTTTATGGCTTATTTTGAAATTTGAGGATGGTATTTTCCTCTTACTATATTTCCTATTCATGTTCTCCTACAGAAAATTTTAAAATCCAGACATCAAATTCCTTGAAAACTTTTATTGTGAGTTTAATTTAAAATTAATCAAATTTTGAATTTGTTTGTGAACTTTTACAATTCTGAATCTTTCCATGCTGAAATATGGTATGCTTTTCCATTTATACAAATCTCCCTTTTTCCCTTTCACTAAAGTAGCACAGTTTTCTTCAGATAGGATTTGAGTACTTATCTTTTTCTAAGAATTTTATTTTGGTTGTTACTATAAATGGGATTTTTCCCATTGACTTCTTAAAGTGATTGTTCTGGATGTATAGCAAATGATACCAATTTTATATGCTGAATCTGAATCTAGACAACTAACATTTTTGTTATTATATTTTGCCTTTGCAATATAACATCTTCAAATAAACACAGAATTGTATCATTGGAGTTGGTCTAGCAGGCTTTGGGTGTATATATAATAGGCCTATGTGTTGTACTTACCTGGTTTTTTGAGGGGGGTCTTTATTAGGTGGTTATTGCTGTGTTACAGGTGTCAGATCACATAAGCAGTGAGAGCCCTGTTTTTACATGGTTTTGATATCGAGATTATGATCAAATCATGTTCTCATTTGTGCTTGCATATAATATAAATTTTAATTTCTCTTGATTTTCTTTTCAACCCAAAATTTATTTAGAAAGAAAAAATTTCTAAATGGTTAGATTTTTTGCTACACATTTTCAATTTTTAGTTTGATTGCATTATGATCAAATAAAATAGTCCTTGTTACATCCATTGTAAAAACAATTTTTATGTTTAGTGGACTAATAATATGTAGTATCTTTTCTTAGTGAGACTTTCTCTACCCATGTATGTAGAAATGGCTGTATATTCTCAGTTCAGAAGTCTCTATATGAGTTGATAATTATATTATTTAAATCTGCTCTCTCCTTTTTTATTTTTTATCAATTAATTTCTGAAAAACATGTATTTATTCTTATATTTCTAATATTTTTGCCTTACACATTTCATAGCTATGCATTTAGATATATATAGGCCATATCTACTTGTTTGATATAAAAATCTTTTTTGTCCTCTGAAATATGCAATATCTCTGTCTCACTTAATACTTTCATCCCATAAAAGATACATTATAGTGATTCATAGAAATGTATGTTTTCTCTATTAATACTGCCACACTCTCTTTTACTTTCATATTTTCCTGGTATATTTTTGTCATCTTATTATTTCCAGCCTTTCTGATCCCTACCCCCCCACACCCTCTGGTTTGTTTTATTTGTTGTTTTATCCATGTATGCTTTAATATTATTTCCTATTTCAAAATTTGAGACATGTGCCATAGCATGTACATTATATTTGATATGGTAGCAGAAGATATGAGAACAAGGGCTGTTTTTGAAATACAGGACACTGGAAACAGCCCAAGTGCCCAGCAGTAGATGAGTGGATAAAAAGCTGTGGTGGTTACATCATGGAATACTATGCAGCAGTAAAAAAGAAGGATCTCTTATCCTTTGAAACAGCATGGAGGGACCTGGAGAATATTATGCTTAGCAAAATAAGCCAGTCAGAGAAAGACAAGTATCACATGATCTCACTCATGTTGAATCTAATGAACAAAATAAACGGAAACATGGAACAGAGTTCAGAATCTCAGAGGGAAGGCGGGGGATGGTGGGTGAGTGGGTGGGAGGTAATCAACCAAAGAACTTGTATGAATATATGCATAACCCATGGACAGACAATAGAGTGGTGAAAGACTAGGACAGGGTTGGGGGGCTGGCTGGAGAGGGTCAATGGGAGAAAATGGGGACATATGTAATACTTTCAACAATAAAGATTTTTTAAAAAGAAAGTAAGGAATACAGGACATATCACTATTGTATATATGTCATGGTGCTTGAGGATTTTACTCCAGTAACATAGATGACCTCCATCATTTTTAGGATACGTTGATACTACCAACTAGAACGTCATACTTCACTAACCTTTAGTATATTTTTTAGTGTACTCTTGTAGGGATGTACTTTTGTAGCATGCCTTCAGATTACATATACTTTTAGGACAGCAGCAGCAGCATAAAGAAGCTCAGATGTGGTTGTTCACCTTGCATAACCTCAAGAAATTATCCCACAGGTGATATTTATGTGCATGAGAGATTTCTAACCAAACACAGAGCCTAGGGATCAGTAAGCCAAGTAAAAGCACTTTAGGCAGATATTCTCATGGAAAAGAGCAAGAGAAAATTCCTCTTAACTAATATCTTCGTTTCTTAAAGTTTTATACAAATATTCCTTTAACTGTTTATCATTTAAAAGCACTATTATTTTCCTTTTTTCCTAAAAAACTTAGTCCAGACCCAGAACACATATATCCATGGGAATCCATTTTCACTGGAATTCATTTTATTTCATTACAGTTAACTTTGTATATGTGTTGACCCTTCATTCTTTTCCATTCTCAATTCTCTCCACCTTTGTCCCTTTCTTTAGTGATTTAATATTTTCTAGCTCTTCATGTTATATGTCATAAATAGTCCCCAAAGACTTTAGCTCAATGGCTAGTGAAATGTTCCCAAATAAAAGAAAATTAGATAAAATCTGCTTATGCAGAAGGAAAAGGAATAAAGAGCTGCCAGTGGACTTATTAGATATTATTTCATTTACTGGTAGAGGGTAGGCATCTAACATTAGACAGGCTTTAGACTCTTGGCCTGGACAGACATGCCCCAAC